TTTTTCAAAAATTAAAACATACTACTTTCAAAACCCAAACTATATATCTTTTATATTTAAATTAAATCTCAAAAATTATTTTTATATCCATATTTTCATAATTTATCTATCGAAAAAGTTGACCGATAATGTTGCATACCCCCCAGCGTTACCCCTTAAGTATAATGAAGCTAAGCTCTTAAACATCGAGGCGTCTTCTGGTGTAACGGTTGGAGTTTTATTAGAAACTCTAAAGTTAATCATGCTCTTGCGGAAGCACTCTTTGGGATGTGTGACCTCTTGGAAAGTTACACCAACGAAACAAAATTATGAGGCCATCAGGCCAAAACAGACAAGAACTCGATGGATGAGAGTTTGGGCTATTATAAATGACATTGGAGCATTACACTAGTTTGAAGATAGTAATATCTGCCTGGTGGATGATTTTGGCTACTGAAGTGGGAGAAATTGTGAATTTCCTTAGGTAGAATGAAGCTAAGCTCTTAAACATCGAGACGCATTTTGGTGTGACGATTGAAATTTCATTAGGAACTCTAAAACTAAGCATGCTCTAGCAGGAGCCCTCGTTATTTAAGTTAGTATTACTTTAGCCTTTGCATTTGAAATCCTCGATCTTGGTACAACCGGAGGCAAGTTATACAATGTTTTTTTGCTTCAAGTATATTCATTTGCATAACTCAATCTTTTCTACACGCTTATTGCTTTCCATGTGCCCAATAGGTTGGCTTACGAATTGAACATCCCCAGGAACTAATAAACAAGATACAGGTATATGCCATTTCTTGATTTCATATTTTTCGGTGTTTACATGCATATCATGCAATTCTTTTGTATTTACATATCTCAAACCTAAATTTTCATATTTACACACATAGCACTCATATCTTTAATATCACATCAAAAATATCATTATTATCAACTTTTCATGCATGGGTTTAAAGCACCAAAGTGCTATGCATGTAAATATGGAATTTAAGGTGCGAGATATGTAAATACATAAGAATTGTGTGCTACGTATGTAAGTTGTCCTAATTTTTTTTTGAGATGTTCTACTGAACTTATTGTTTTTTTTTTAAAATAAAATTTTATCCTAATCATATATTTGGATATGCTATATACTTTTCTAGTATTCTTCGCTAGCTACCGAGGTTCAATCAGGTCGTGGAAAAGTACCTGTAGCAGATTACAAGGTGGTTAAATATATCAATGAAGGATCTGAGATTGTGAACTCTTGTTTGGAGGACCGAACTAGAAGCTGCTATTCTTTCTGCATGTGTCCTGGTGGTCAGGTGAGCATTACCATGTTACTTCTTGCATTTAACAATCGAAAGATTTACATACATACCACTCACTTCTTATGCATTTTTACATATCTAGCATATAAACTTCAATTTTTAGATATATACCTCCTCACACGTGCATTTAAAGATGTAGTTGACTTTTAAGAAGTAAAGTAGTTGTAAAAAGTAAAGTTTGTGTTCGATATTTATATATAAAAGTATTGGATGGTATGTTTCATGTGGTTAATGAGTTATCGTTGCTGGTAGGTTGTGCTAACTAGCACGAATTCATCTGAGCTCTGCATCAATGGCATGTCATTTTCTCGTCGGTCGTCGAGATGGGCCAATTCGGCTATTGTTGTTAGTGTATCTACGAATGACTTTGCTCCCTTCACTGGTTATGGGGCTCTTTGTGGTGTTGAATTTCAGGTTCTTGTCCTCGTTCTTCTCCTCTTGTTAGTGTACACGTTGCATTACTTCAGTGTTCTGTATAAAAAAAGTGAATTTTACATACATACCACACAATTACTTTATATTTACATATTTAACACCTGAAGTTTGATAGTTACACTTGTAACACTTTGGTGTCATAAATCTATACATAAAAAAAAGGTGTATTTCACTTTTAAAAAGACAACAATGATGGTACTTTTGATGCGTTGTTAAATATTTGAGTGATATACATGTAAATGTAAATATTTAGGTGTTAAATATGTAAATATATAAGAATTGTGCAGTATGTATGTAAATGCCTAAAATTAGAAAGTTTAGAATCCCAAAGACGGAATTTCTAGGTTCTCAAGTTCAACTATGCAGTTTTGACAGAGCATGATGTTAGAGCATTATAGGCATCATTCTGTTGCTTAGTTTATGATTAATTTAGGTCATATCATTATTCTAGTTGTTAATAAAAAAAATTAATTATGTTGGCAATTTGGTGAGATCTAATTCATTTACAAGAGCAAAGAATTACATGAAGGTCTCATGCACAAAACACCCCAATAATTTTATTTATGTTAACCAAATGATGTCCACGTTCTACAGTAAAATTTTCAAAATAACCCCTTAATAAATGCAACTCAGAAGTACCGGTCCGCAACTGAGTTTGTTCACGCCATTTCTTTGCAAGTCGCAAAAGTCGTCTCGACAACTTAACATGGAATGCTTCGTTTCTTTGCAACTTAACATGGAGTGCGCCAAACCGACTTTAATTATGTTGTAAACCAAGTTTTAGGACACATTCACCAAACCTTCTTCGTTATAGGTTTGTGGCAAGTATATTTACATATCTAACACCTAAACATTCATATTTACATGCATACCACTCAAACCTTTAACATCCCATAAAAAACGCCCCCCCATCACTTTCTTTTTAAAATTGAAATTAGGGTTGTCAATTTGGCTCGTTGTTCGTGAACAGCTCGTGTTCGGCTTGGGCCGAACACGAATAAATTTTTAAGCTCGAAATGTAAA